ATCATGAATGCTTGACGAGATTTACAAGTATTAGCATTAATTGAATAAGATGACTAATGTAATCATGTTAATAATCTATAATCTTATTGTAACCTCCTTTTTGTGTGGTTTCCAATTGAATAATAAGAGTTTATATTATACTTGTTTGACGTACCATTAGTGGAACCTCTAACCTTGACATTTGTTATTATCATTGTTTAATCCTTATATTAATATTCCATCTCAAAGTTCTCATCATCATCATCATCTTCTCCTTCTTTTTCTTTATTATTATTATTATTATTATTATTATTATTATTATTATTATTATTATTATTATTAGTATTAGTATTATTACTACTACTACTACTACTACTACTACTACTATTGTTATTGTTATTGTTGTTGTTGTTACTATTGTTGTTGTTTATAATTTGTACAATTAACCTCCTTGTGGTTCGACCCTAGTCTTGCCGAGTTATTTATTACTTCGACACTCCTACACTTAAGAGAAGACATCAATCTTTTAGTCGTGTCAAGTTTTTGGCGTCGTTGCCGGGGAGGTAAGTTTTGTATAAATTATAACATTTATTTTATTTTCTCTTTTTACTTTTCTTGTATATAACTTTGTTTGTTGTCTCTTCTTTCTTTTTCTTTTGTTTTCTTTTTTCTTTTATTCTATTCCTACACGTGCATGAGAGAGTGGTCATGTACATCAAGTGGTAGACTTTGTAGGGTATCCTCATCATTTTTAGAAAATATGGTTGAAGATGATATATAGATAAGCTTAAAAAAGAGATGCTAATTCAATTCAAACTGGAACATTATTCAATCATTGGGTCATATCTAAAGCTATAGATCTTGAATTTTAGTTAGGTTTATATGGCTAGAAAGCTAAGACATAAGCCTAAAACATTCATGAGAGTCGAAGACTCAATTTTGTCATTTGAAAGTCCAAATCTTAGCATCAAAAGAGAAGTTCGAATCTGTCCTACAGCTTAGATATTGTTCAGTATTTATTCCCAAGAATACGGTTCGATAATAGATCGCTTCTAAAGCGCGCATCGCTCATTCCGCACGCAACAATCCAATTAGTTCTCTGGGTGAAAAAACATTAGACATTCCATCTTCTAAAACCTTTTGGCGTACAATAATTTCTATATGCCTATTATGGATTTGTACCCCCTGGGATCGATAAACCTTTTGGATCTTATTAACCAAGGAAATATGACTTTGCATTATGGTTAGCTCAACACCAATCAAGAATCCCCAACGAATTCCTACAATTCTTGTTATGCACTTGTTCCAATTCTCCACTCTCTTTTCTAGGTTAATCGATATTGAATTAATTGAGCGCACTTCTAACACCTGTTCCACTTTTAGAAGACCCTGCATTATATCACTAGATCTCGATTTTTCATATATAAATGTAACTATTGTATCTCCTTCGTAAAGGATTTCCCCATAATGGCCATGAATAGTTGCTCCTGGAGTGGCCGAATAGGGCTCAGCCAATCTTAGCATTACAGAGTCGGTGTGAATAATTAGAACTTGACCTGATTTTAGGCGTGGTCTGTTTTTTGTCATACATACGTTTTCACAAATAATTATGATGATAATTATGATGGAGAAAATACCAATTCAATTTGAATGGATTCAAAACATTGTTACTATACAGATCGTGATTAACAATTCTACCGTTCTTATTCATTAAATAATATTTTAGTACTTTTAAAGTCTATTTTAATTTTAAATTGTTAAGTTTCAAATATTTAATTACCGAGATCTGATTATGAGTTAGTAAATGGTAAAATGAATAAAAATTCCCAATTTGAAGGGCTATTCCTAAAGGGCCCAACAAATTCCTAATTAGAATTATAGAATCTCTTTTAGTTGATTCTTTTATTACATTATAAGATTTTACACCGTTGGATGGATCCATTCGAAAATAATTAGATGATGAAAAAATTATTAAAGATTGACATTCCATATTTCTATTCAATAATGTACTAATACTAATAGTTCCTTGATTTTGTTTAAGTGATTGTGGAATCCTTGTCTTGGAATAAATAGAGCCCATATCTTAAGTTCTAGAAGTCTAAATGCATTGATTTTTTTTTAATGAAAAGCTGAGACAATTTTCTAGAACTTTCATGTGGACTATCTGTTCAAATTTTGATGTTATCAATGACGTTTAATTCAGATAAAAAGATATGGATTGTCATAAAGTCAAGAGGTGACCACCCACTCAACAATTAATTATCAAATCAATTGTTTGAATTTTTTTCCTATAAAAGAAGGCGCTTGCCTTTCAATTCCTTTCCTTTACTTAGTTAACTTTTATCTTATTTATGTTCTTATCTTATTTATTTATGTTTCTCTTCTTGATTATGTTTATCATGTCAAGCTGAAAATGTTACACTAATGGTGCAAGAATAAGTATAGTGTAAACTCAACATGGACCTTAGTGTTTGATACTAACATGCTTTGTATTTGTTATCTTGTTCACTTTTAATACTTTGATTGTTAAATGATTAATTTAGATTTATGTTGTATAACACTTGGTACAACAAATACTTGGCACTTTCATAGCCCAACCGGATAGTATAACCTACACCTAGCTATGAAAGAAACTTGATTTGTTGTTAACATAAGTTATAATCATGAATGTCTGACAATATTTACAAGTATTAGCATTATTTGAATAAGATAACTAATGTAATCATGTTAACAAATTATAATCTGATTGGAACCTCCTTTGTGTGTGGTTTTTATATGAGTAATAAGAGTTTATACTATACTTGTTTGAAATACCATTAGTGGATCCTCTAACCATGACATCTGGTATTATCATTGTTTAATCCTCACGTTAATCTTCCATCTCAAAGTTCTCATCAACTTCTTTTTCTTCTAGTATTATTATTATTATTATTATTATTATTATTATTATTATAACTACTACTACTACTACTACTATTAGTATTATCATTCTTTTTGTTGTTGTTGTTATTTATAATTTATACAATTAACCTCCTTGTGGTTCAACCCTAATCTTGCTGAGTTATTTATTACTTCAACACTCCTGCACTTAGGTTATGAAAGTGCCAAGCATTTGTTGTACCAAGTGTTATACAAAACAAATCTAAACTAACCATTTAACAAACAAGGTATTAAGAATTAAAAAGATAAAAATGATAAGACATATTAATAGCAAGTTGTTTAGAATATAAGCATTGAAGTAGCTAAAGCAAAAGCTAAGGCTAGAATAGTAGGGGATGGTGGAAAGGTTACTCTTTCGTAATTCAGAAAGCTGTTATAAGCCCCTTCCAACCCCCGGATCAAGGGCCTTGCCCATTTTCTAATTTTTCATCTCCTTGGCCAATCCAGCTGAGAAGGAGCGGCTGCCACGAAGGGATGGTTAGATTACTTTATTAATTTTCAATGAGCTCATCCAAGCTTTAAAGGTGGTAGGACTCTTTTATGCTTTTGATCTCTGTAAAGTTAGGCTCGAGTAGGAGCTTCTGGAAGCAGTTGTAGAGAAAAGATTGTCTTAGTGTATGTCCAATGACTTGTGGGACCGATAGTAGTTGGAATATTCAAATTTATCGATCTCGACGGGTCGCTTACACGGAGGTAGAGTTAGCTGACCGTTAGCGATCAACATGTCAAAGATGGCGTCTACCTTACTTTCATCCCCGACTTTAAAGAGTCGTTCTTTGAGAAAAATTTATAGTATACTTATCTTAACACCATTAATGAAACCTTTTCACCTTGACATAATAAACTTAGCTAAACATAATGAAAAAAAGAAACATAAATAAACAAGAGGAGAACATAATTATACAAGTATAGTAAAGGAAATGAAAGGCATAAACAAGAGATTAATGACAACAAAACTTAAGCATTCCAAAAATATAAAGAAAAGGAGCTAGAACATGATCTTGATCTAAGATTCAAGATGCCTAAATACATCGCAAATGCCTCCTTTTATAGGCCAAAATTAAGAACTATTGATTGATGACTAATTGATGAGTGGGTGGCCACATCTTGACATTGTGACAATTCTTGTCTTATTGTCTGAACAAAACATCATTGCTAACATCATAGTTTAAACAAATTTTCTTCATAAAAATTCTAGGAAATTGTTTAGCTTTCTAACAAAAACCAATTGGTGTATTTAGACTTTTAGAACTTGAGATATAGGCTGAACACTGAGTAGTATCTGGGTTGCAGGAAAGATCCGTTATTGCTACAATTTGAACTTAAAAATGATCTTTTTGAATCTTGGACTCTATAAAAGTTTTAGGCTCATATCTTAGCTTTCCATCCATATAGAGCAGACCTAAATCCAAGTTCTATAGCTCCAGTTATGATCCAATAACCAAATGGTGTTCTAGTTTGGATTGAACTAGTATTTATTTTCGAAGCTTAGTCCTCTCTTTGTCTTTACAATTTTGGTAGCTAAACTCAACAATCAATCCCTTGATTTACGTGATAGGATTTCATTTAAGATAAACGTTTACTATAAACTAAAGGTATCTTATATTATTAGATTTGTTATTCTAAAACATGTTCTAGCTAAGGAGTTATTGATACTTCAAATGCAAAATGATGATATAAAACCTTGATAAAAATACACTTTTAAGTACTAATCACAGTCCCCAACTAACTTATTACTATTCCCTAGTAATCAAAGCATTAAAATAGAAAAAAAATTTGCAAGTTTCACAAAGTATGGCATTTATCATTCAACTTGCATTAATCTATCCACATAAACAAACTCTCATTAAGTTTATATATCCGCTCCATACTTAAACAAGATATTAATAAACCTTCCTTTTATGCTCAATGTATTAACATATAATCATGGGGCTTTACTTAGAAGAAAATAATATTATGTTCTAATGTTTTTCTAAGGTTAACTTCCTTGGGTTGAGATTATTATCTTTTTTATTATCTTTTTCTTTAATATATATACAGATAACTGAAAACACAATGCATTTTTAACCCATGTAATGAGCTTTCGGTTAATAACTCTTAGACTAGTTGGTCTTAGGGCATTTAGGTGTTTAGACACCCCTAAGAGCTTAGTAACTTAGGTTGCAAATATTGATACATACATAGTGCAATATTTGATTTCCTTAAATTTTTTTCCTTAACCCATGTAACAAGCATTAAGCTAATAGCTCCGAAGTCAGTTCACTTTAGGGTATTAGGTGTTAAAACACCCTTTCTGGCTTAACTGCTTAGGTTAGGGAGGCTACAAAACCAAAATTATCTACATTTTTTATTATCATTAATATTATCAATTTGTTTTTGTTTTTGTTTTTTTTTATATAAATTATATACTATCCCTTTTCCTTAGTTGTTACTTTTAACATAAAAACATAAATAATGTAATTATCCCATATGCAACCCACAATTATATGTTAAAGTATGTGTGTGAAAATGAATGTTTAAGAATACTTGATAAATATGTAAATGAGCAAAATCAAGTGATGATATTGCGAGAGTTTGTAAACTTGAATATTTCAAGAGAAGTATGTGATAAACCTTGTTATGAATATTGCAAATAACTAATGGAAAATATTTACTAAGATGCATCTCAATAGTCAATAGAATTCTCCCTTACTCTACCATCCTAGTAAAAACAGTTTTGTCAAATGTTTTAAGGTAGAAAGATAGAGTATAGAAGACATCACTTGAAACGTCGACTATTGATACGCTTGAAACACACTTAAACAAATATAAGAAGCAACAAAACATAAATTTATGCTATTAATAAAACTAAAAAACACGTTCTTACAAACTAAGGCTTAAATTGTAGTTATGATTATGGCTCACATCTTTCTTTGGTTTTACATCCAATAATGACTTAAATGTCCTCTATGGGTTGGGGATAGGCTTCTCATCCAGTTTTCTTAAAAACTAGCAAACATTGTCTTTTTTAGTCAAATTCCCAAGACTTTGTCGAGCATGTTCTTTATAGAATTGTGGCTATAAATCATGAATAACACAATGCACATCTCTGCTATGATGTGTCTCAAAAGTCAATAGAAGATTATCTAATGACCTCTTGCTTAGGTCATCCTTAATGAATTGTATTTTATCTTAACAGTTTACAAATGTTATTCCTAAAGAACGACATGTTACATTACAAGTCTATCTGACACATCTGTGACAAACTTTAAGTCATTTTGCATCACATTTCTTTGCGAAAATGCTTTCACCTATTCCAAGTATATATGCAATGAAAGAATTAAATGACTCACCTGATAATCAAACCTTTACTTCAATTAACCAGCGAATATCTTTAGGAATTTCATGATTCATTAACAACCTGAATCTTTCACATTTAGCACGATAAATTTTTGCAATTGCATTTGGAGGCAAAGCAGGAAAATACTTTTTCAATATTTCAAGAGTGGTGTCCATTTTTTAGATGAGAGGAAAAGAGATGCAAAGAAAAGAGAAGGAACAAGGAATTGAATAAATATATACATAGATATCAGTTATCATAGGAAATTGAAAGAACTGACATAAGAGTCATGGAGTACCGTTATTTGCCATTTGACCGGGGTGATAAAGACTAGTAAAACAAAAGTCACACAAAAAAGAAACAAAAAAACGATGTGAGAAAAAGAATCAATATTTTTATACAGGATCACTAAAACCAATCGATTCATTTTCATTAGGGAACTTATCAAAGTAAGCTTTCAAACTATGTCCATTTACCTTAAAAACCATTGTCATTCTTTGGATTTTCAATATCAAAAGCCCTATAAGGACACACATGTTTCTTAATAAATGGACCACTCCATCTTGATCTTAGCTAAGAAATAAATGGAGTCGAGAATTATAATGCAAAACTTTTTGACAATATCAACTTTTTAACAATTTTTACAAGTATTACAAAATGCATACGTGTCCTTATTGTCAAGACTACATCATTGAAATATTTGATCAGGACAATAATTGAATAAGTAAAGGTCATTCTAATAAAAATTCTTCAGTACTCTAGTGGGCTGGCAAAAATCTTGAAGTAAAAAATTGATATTTTTAGTAAAC